CTGCTATATGGACCTTTTCCTCTTAAATGTATAATTTTTTTATTGCCTGTGTTTGAAGGGGTTGTAATCACACATTACAGTGATCCACTTGTTGGGTTTTGCTATCACATCTGTAGGTCAGTATTCCTATTTCTGTGTGTCTAAGTCTCCGGGTCGGATTTTCTGCGAAATCCATCAGATGTGACGTGCATGCGCGCTCCCGAGCCAAGTTACTTCCTACGATCTTAGTGTTACACTGAAATCAGTCTAGTTCACTTACCGTTTTCGTTATCATATTATACTTTCACCTATGTTGACATTGCTGATTGTAAAAAGATACACGAATAGTTCGTGAAATGCCTTATGGTAGAAAACACCACAAATGTAATGTTGTGTGAGCATGGAGTAGTTCAACGGTAAGCTGATAAAAGTAGCCTATTATTGTAATGTTGCAGTGGGAGTTTACATGAGTTTTCATCATGTTGTGTGATGCTTTCTCCGGTGAGTTGAAAGTCTCAGTGTGGCCGTGTACCGTGAGTGCTTGTAAAAATTGATTGCAATCTGAAACATCACCGATAGAGGGCGCTAAAAAATATAGTACCTTTAAGAGCGAGTGGGTAAATCACACCACTGTAGAAAAAATGCTTAAAATATGCATTTTATTTTACCATGTTCTACATCTAATTTCAGAACTAAATTTTTTTGTAGCTTTGCGTGACCTTGAACCTTTTAAAGGGATAGTTCACTTTGAAATTATTTTTGATAAGTTTTAGCTTACCTCAAGGGCATCCAAGATGTAGGTGTCTTTGTTTCTGCAGTATTTTCAATTTTGATATTTTTAGGTCAAACCGTTCTTGTCAATCAGTCATACACTGGAGGTTTATTGGGTCCACCTCAAAGAGCATGCACAGAGAAGTCCAAATTAAACATGATTTAATGAGTCGTAAATGTAAGTACACATTGATGGCCTAAGACACGAAACGAGCGGTTTGTGTGAGAAAACAAACAGTATTTTTATCGTTTTACCTCTTGTGATCACAGCCACGTCCAAGTGATCTGAGGGCAGGCGCTTCGTTTTCTCACACAAACCGCTCGTTTCGTGTCTTAGGCCATCAATGTGTACTTACATTTACGACTCATTAAATCATGTTTAATTTGGACTTCATGTGCATGCTCTTTGAGGTGGTGACCATAGACCTAAAATCGTATAGGGTCGCTAAGGCCCCGAGGTGTGTAAGTAAGTATATTTTTATGCACAACAATAATTAAATCTTTGATGACTGAATACGTGCAAATCACCTTTATGTCCCAAGCAATGATGAGGACAGTGATGATGCAATAAATATCCAATCAACAGTGTGAATCACAACACATATTTTAGATCATATTCATCTATATGAAGGATCTCATATAAACTAGACTTTGAAACATCAATGTTTTCCTTTTTGAATATTTGCAAACAGCAAATAAGGGCGATGAAATTCCCGTCAACTGAATGACTTGGTCAAGGTCGTGTTTGTACTGTCCAGTGTTTAAAGGTCACGTGAGGTTTGCAATAAAAACTCCAGCGATACTGACGGACAACACTGAAGTCTAAACTTGTGCTTGCAAGTTTCGGTTTGTTCATTCTGTAATTGTTGATATCGTGAAGTCTTCAGGCAAAAGAAGAGCAAGATATTCATTTACCCAGAACAACAAGGTAAGAAATTCAGAACTTTATAGGAAGTATAAAATATTTAATACAAAAAAACAAAGGGACCGCCACAGCTGGGTTAAACTATACAAGTAAAAACAAAAGAAGGGTCCAATCATTTATTTTATTGAGTAGCCTATGTTCTTAATGAATTACAACCAAACTGCTTTATAAAGTTGAATGTCAGTAAAGGTGTGTTGATGTGTGTGTGTTGATCAGCAGGTCATGGAGATTCATCAGTCTGCTGTGATTCTGCTGCTGGTCGTGTGTGTGTCATTCTCCACTCATGCTGATCCACAACCACCACCAGATGTAGAGCCCCGTTATCTAAAATTCCTCAAACAGCATTTCGGTCCTGATATGAGTGAGCAGAAGTGTGACCGTAAAATGAATAATGGCATTACTGGACCTAACGGTGTCTGCAAAGATGTCAACACCTTCATACAAGCAAATTCAAATGATATTAAAGCGGTTTGTGGCGCAGGAGGACGTCCACAGGGAGGTGACCTGTTTAAGAGCGGACAGCAGTTTCCTGTGATCACATGCAAATTGAAACGTGGGTCGAGACCCCCAAGATGTGCCTATAGAGGGAAGAAGTCGACTCGTTACGTTGTGTTGGGCTGTGAGAAAGGCTGGCCTGTGCATTATGATGAAGGCACAATTAATTAGCATATATAGAAAACAAACTGAACAGAGCTCTACAATGTTTTCCTAATGATTTGTTCACTTCTTATTTTCTTTCTTTGTTTGTTTTCAAGTTTGAGAAATCTATAATGAAGCACATCTGTGAACATGAACACAACATATTTGTACATAATTATCTTTGAGCAAGAATCAGGGGAACAACGTTTTTTCTTTTCTTTTGAAGAACAGCACACAGTTAGAATAAATTCACTCTCTCTCATCATTTAATGAGCATAATGTTAAAAATAACTCTAATTTCTTTAAATGAATCGATTCTTCATGTCTCTGTGTGTAATTGTGTTTTTCATGTGCAGATTCGGCTAGTCTACTGAATTTAAGCACTCTGTTAACACTTTTTGAGCATTAAAAAAACTTTTAATGGGAGTAGTGAATGAGCAAAACTAGATGAGGTAAGAAAAACACAGAAGTTTTTCCACCTGTCTGTTATCCTCAATAAAACTTCTCTACCATTAAACTTTTCTGCTGGATTGACTTGCATCTCAAAAACTCTAACTGAAGAAAAAATATCCAAAATATCTATTGAAACAAAATAAAAAAAGTTTACGTTTTATAAGCACAAATGCTCGCCTTGCTCTGTTCTGTGGCGAAATTTTAAAAAGTGTCCATTAAATAGTTATAAATATAACAAGGGCTTTAGATAAAAGATAATTAAGTGTTTATAACTGTAAAAATCAGGGGAAGTAGGTCTATGCTTATTAAGGTTACAAAAATCTAACCCTAATGGGTGGATTTGGAAGAAAAAGGAAAAAGTTGTGAGCCAGATTGAAAGAGAAGTACAAAACATCACAGAATCACATACACCAGACAACGTCCTCCTTTCTCTCACATGTTAGAGGTCCAGTGTACCCTCATACAACAATTCCTTCAGAAAGGTCAATTATTCACTTATTTATTTAACATGTATGTGTGCATTAAAAGTACAATTTCGGCAATGAGAACATTTCCGTGTCAAATGAAGATAAAGATGTGTTCTGGTGGCTGGCGTGTTTATTGAACCAGTCAGAACAGAGTAAAACGACTGTCAGCTAGAAGCTCATCTGATTGGCAACATGATGGTGGACTCGCCATCCTCATCGCGCTTGCAAAACTCAGTGAGTGAGAGAATCGTGCCAAAACTGGAAGTGCAAGTAAAAGAAAGACGCAACTGTACAAATTGGGTTCGGAAACTTCGGTTATTTTGCCATGTATATACAGTGGGGCCAAAAAAAATATTGAGTCAGCCACTGATTGTGCAAGTTCTCCAACTTGGAATGATGAAAAAGGTCTGTAATTTTCATCCCAGGTACAAAAAAAAAAAAAAAAACAGGAAATCACATTGTAGGATTTTTAAAGAATTTATTTGTAAATTATCACTGGGCAACACGGACTGAGGTCTGGAGACTGGCTAGGCCACTCCAGGACCTTGAAATTGTTTTTACGGAGCCACACCTTCGTTGACTGGGCGGTTGTGTTTGGGATCATCCTGCTGGAAGATCCAGCCACGTTTTATCTTCAAGGCTCTCACATGACGGAAGGAGGTTTCGGCTTAAAATCTCACGATACATGGCCATGTTCATTCTTCCCTAAACACGGATCAGTTTTCCTGTCCCCTTTGCAGAAAAACAGCCCCAAAGCATGATGTTTCCTCCCCCATGCTTCACAGTAGGTAAATGTATGGTCTTCTTGGGATTCAACTCTGCATTCTTCTTCCTCCAAACACGACGAATTGAGTTTTTACCTAAAAAGTTCTATTTTGACCACATGATATTCCTCCAATCCTCTTCTGGATCATCCATATGCTCTCTGAAAACTTCAGACGGGCCTGGACATGTGCTGGCTTAAGGAGAGGGACACGCCTGGCACTGCAGTATTAGAGTCCCTCTCGGTGTAGTGTGTTACTGATAGTGGCCTTTGTTACTTTGGTCCCAGCTCTCTGCAGGTCATTCATCAGGTCCCTCCGTGTAGTTCTGGGGTTTTTGCTCACCGTTCTCATGATCATTTTGACCCCACGGGATGAGCCCCAGATCGAGGGAGATTATCAGTGGTCTTGTATGTCTTCCATTTTCTTACAATTGCTCCCACAGTTGATTTCTTCACACCAAGCTGCTTGCCTATTGTAGATTCACTCTTCCCAGTATGATGCAGATCTACAATTTTCTTCCTGGTGTCCTTCGACAGGTCTTTGGTCTTGGCCATGGTTGAGTTTGAAGTGTGACTGTTTGAGGATGTGGACAGGTGTCTTTTATACAGATAACTGGTTCAAACAGGTGCCAATAATACAGGTAACGAGTGGAGGACAGAAGAGCTTCTTAAAGAAGAAGTTACAGGTCTGTGAGAGCCAGACATCTTGCTGGTTTGTGGGTGACCAAATACTTATTTTCCACCATAAATACCTATTATGAAAATATATGAAAATTACAGACCTCATTATTCTAAGTAGGAGAACTTGCACAATCAGTGGCTGACTAAATACTTTTTGGCCCCACTGTATATGCAACAGTTTATTTATTTTATTTTACACAAAGTTTGATTTTTCGCAATTCATCTGTTTTGCAGTTCCTGCCTCTGTTGTTTTCGCTTGCAGATTGCTGTTCACAGGCTGTTCAAAAACCGTGCCAAAAGTGTAAGCGCGAAAAAAAGAAAGTCTGAAGAATACTGATGCTATTTATTTTGCATTAGCATTAAGCTGCAGCTTCAAAATACATGAATTAACACTGTGATAATTTTTCTTACACTTGAAGGGTGATTTACACCTTTACAAATCTTTGACTGTGCCATGGCCAGTCTTTAGGGTTGTCTGCCACAGATATGAACATCTTCAAGGAGGCCACAGACAACATTCATGATTACACGAAGACTGTGAGTGATCATATACATATACAACCTAAAAAAAACTCTTGGTGCAGGTGTTTTTATGCTTATACAAATTATACAAATATACAAATTCCATGTGATCAAGGAATCTAATTACAGCGCCCCAGTGGTCACCAGGGGGAGTTTGAAAATACATAATACTTTGGTTCTTATTGATGTATAAAAAGTTTTTATGTGACCATATTAAAACAGGACAATAATATTTCTGTTTGGTCTTTCACACCAGCAGATAAAATCACAACCAAAAGGACTGTGTCACAATTTATAACCACAGAAATCAGGTACTTTATTTGTCTTCAAAGATAAATGTTTCTTTATGACAAAATTTCTTAACATTTTCCATAACCTATCATCTAAAGTGTGGTAATATACCCCTCCAATGATCAGAGGTATCAGAGGAAATTTCTTCTCCCAACTAATTGTTGGTTTCGTTTCACGTCATTTAGCATTCGACAGTGCATATACTTCACAAACTACTATCAGGATCAAAATAAATACAGGGACCATTCCTGTAATGCCCAAACCAAGAAGCATCTTAACACCGGTCATCTGAAAAATAGGGAGGGGGAAGCAAAATCATTACATTAAGAAATTACAAAACCAATTGCCATAATTGTAGATGTAGTAATGGTCATTTAACAGATACGTTTATCCAAAGTGAAATACTCAAAGGGAAGCAATAAAGAGTTAAATGTAGTAATCCTATTCATATCCATATTCATATTTTTTTTGTTTGTTTCATTGTTTTTTTGTAAGTTTTTCATTACATTTCTGAAGATAACTCACCTGTGACTCAACAACAAAGCCCTGAGTCAGAGCTCGTAGTTCGGTGTCATTTTTCCCAGGGACTGAACTGATCGGTTTACACCATTTGAACTGTTGCTGATCATCATAAACATACAGTCCATTCCAGTATGTTTTTGTACAGGCAACATAATCACCGTCAAGGAACACAAGAGTGATCCACAAAAGAGGTGGAAGCAGGCAAAGCAAAAAAGTTTTGAGCAGTTCAGATCTACTCTTTATATCGGTATCGAAACTAATATAACAAATTAAAGCAAAAACAAAAACAAAAGGTCCAGCAAAAATGAGGTTGACCATTTGTGCATTCAGCTCAACATCGCATGGACATGAGAAATCTTTATCAAACAAAGCTTCCAAAAGCATTAAAAAAAAGCTCAATGAAAGACAGGAGATAAGAAGCTTTCTGTCACGCTCACGGACACCGTCAAGCAGTCCACGGATTTGATCATCTTCAGCCATATTCTGAGGTCTACACAGCAGCACACAACAAGTACTGTAAATCTGATGGTGTTTTGACTGCTCTTCTGTTGTACGGTCTCAGGAAAAGCTTTTAATCTTGAACCTCAGATGTTCCAGAAGTGCTGGACAGGTCCCTACAAATCAATGAATAATAATATTTCTTTTCACATTGCAATTTTTAATATTTAATGAGTATATATGCATATATATATCTGGACATCAGGTAAAAATATGCATTTTTCTTTTTTTTACAAAATATAGGAGACCAAGATTTTTGTCTTACTCTTGAACTCGTTTTTGTTGTCTGCTGTGATGTGTTGATGATTTTCAATTTCCGCTCCCAAAAATGTTACATGCAATGAAGGCTAATGAATCACAACCACAAAATGAGAGAGAGCAGATTGTTATAATAATGGTCAATAAGCTCTTTTAATAAAAGTTAATACAAATTTTGATTTAATATGTATAAAGTAATATTTTACCTTTTTTTAAAAGTGTAGTTACTCAGTTCTTGCAGTCTCTTTTCGTCCTTTTAGAAGTCACTATGAATCTGTCAAAGTACAAACTGCTTCAGAACAGCACATGCAACAATGAAAGGATTCCAACTGCTTTATAAGCTGACAACCCTTGTGACTCATACACTTTATGAACAATTTCGTAATGTGTATGTTCTAATTCGCTCTCTTGTTTTGGTTTTGGTTCTGTTTCCCTGTTCCTGTAAATGTATTTATTTTCTGACAAGGGGGAAAAAAAAAGAAAGAAACCTTCCCAGAATTAGCTATAAAGCTAAATTTCATGCAGTCCCTGGGCAGGAAAGTACCATTTCACATTGCATGCAAAAATTATTACATACAATAAAGCATATACATCCTACAATTTTACATAATCAACCTTGACAAAACAGAGTACTTATGACAAAGCATAAGTACTTATTTAATGTCCTGGAGATAAGTGTTAAGTTGTGATCTGACAATCCAGTTAAAAAAATTAAAAGTCTTTGTAATTCTGTAAATCTGGTTTGTTGGTAAAAATAAGATCTAATAAATTTTGCAAAGTGGCTGTGTTTTGTGTAGGGCCCTTAACCATTTGTATAAGATCATGTAATTGTGTTATTTTCTTTATCAGGGGTAATTTTATCAGACCAATAAGGATTAAAATTCCCCAAAACAAGACACTCTTTACGCAAATCAATTTCTTTAAAGATTACAGAATAAAATATCAGATGAAGCAAGGGGCTCTATAAACTGCCACTACAGTAAAAGACATTTGCAAATATAAAGCAATTAAAACGGCAAACTGTTACTAGGACTTTATTGAAAGTAGGACTTTATTAAAAGAACTAAAAACTTACAAATAAACTCAAGACTCGATAACGGAACAACCACACATGAAGCAACATCAACTAAAGACAAGGAAAAAGACTGAAACACAGGGCTAAATCAACACATTCTCATCCTTTGGCGTCATATAGGTTACACCATATGACATTTCGTCAAAATACTACGCACGTGGCACCCTTTAGCGTCAATATAACACGCACTGTCAACTGACATCATGACTTTTGCGTTAACATACACGCCAATTTCGAGTCAAGTGGCGTGTTATCTCGACGCATTTTGAGCTATTCGCGTGTATGCGTGCATGTCTACGGCAATAACGTCCACGTCATTCCGCGTGTCTGTACACACCGCCAAATATTCGAGCAAAATATACTAAATCTGGAAGCGACAGTAACGGTTAAGTTTAGGGACGGGGTTGAGGTAGGTCATATATTTATATATACAGTAATAACGTTAAGTCAACGGCGTTCATAAACACGCTGAAAAGGGATTATGCGTGTTGATAGAACGCCAAAAATGGAAATACGAATTGGCGTGTCATACACACGCTACTTCATGAGATCAGTCTGGCACTGTTGTTTAGGTCTGGGGTAGGGTCTGCGTCTCATTGACGCTAAAGGATGCCAGTCACCTGTATGACGCCTTGGGTTTGCGTGTTATATTGACGCTAAAGTGTGCCTAGGGTTGGTTATCGAGAATCGAGTATCGATTGGAACCGGGATTAACTTTTCGTTTTTCCCGGAATCGTTCAAAAGTTAAAATTTCGATTCCTAGTTTCGATATTCAAAAAAAAAAAAAAAAAAAAAAAGTTTCGATATTCACAGTCCGCCGAGCAGAAGAAGAAACCGCTGAACAACACCAACGAAGAAGCGTCTACCGGAAGTGTTGTTGGCATAACCACGCGAGTCGAACATGAGTACCTTACGTCGGCGATCCAAAGTGTGGCTTCACTTTTCTAAAAATAACGAAATCTCGACAAAATGTAAAATTTGTGACAAAAGGAGTATTTTTACAGAAGGAGTATTTCCTTCAGAAAGGCCGTTGGTTAGCAAGGTTAGCTAAACTTTTTTGACCCTGCCTCTTAAAAGAATCGGAATCGAGAATCGTTAGGAACCGGAATCGAAACATGGAATCGGAATCGGAATCAGAATCGTTCAAATTCAAATGATACCCAACCCTAAGTGTGCCATGTGCGTAGTATTTCGACGGATGGTCATATGGCATCACCTATATGACGCCAAACGATGAGAACGGGCTCGCTAAATACACACAGGACTGACGACAAGGGTTACCTGTGAGCATTCAAACAATCAATCAATGACAACAGACAAGGGAACACAAGGCAGGATCACTAAAACAAGGGATCACATGACAGACCAGAACAAGGAACAAGCAACATGACATCATGACTTTTGCGTAAACATACACGCCACTTTCAAGTCAACGTTAAGTCAACGGCGTTCATAAACACGCTGAAAAGCGATTATGCGCGATTATAGCTCGCCAAAAATAGAAATACGAATTGGCGTGTCATACACATGCAATTTCATGAGATCAGTCTGGAACAAGAAACAAACACCCAAACTATGACATACATTTAAATTCATGTTTTGTTCACGTTGGAAATGTTCTTTAACATAAACAAGGAGATCTCCTTCTCTACCAATTTTCCTATCATGTCTGAAATATTTATTCCCATCCATTATACAAGTTTTAGTTAACCATGTTGTTTCAGATAAACACACAAACGCACAAAAAAACCCTTAAAATTTAGTCGTTAAGCACATTTTCAATTTGTTCATGTTTGGCAAAAACGACATAAATACTGTTAGTTTTCTCACAAAAACCGCTCGTTTCGTGTCTTAGGCCATCAATGTGTACTTACATTTACGAGTCATTAAATCATGTTTAATTTTGACTTCTCTGTGCATGCTTTTTGAGGTGGACCTCCTTAGCCTCCAGTGTATGACTGATAGACAACAACGGTTTGACTGAAAATTGTCAAAATTGAAAATACTGTGGAAACAAAGACACCTACATCTTGGATGCCCTTGAGCTAAGCTAAAACATATAAAAAATGTATTTCAAAGTGAACTATCCCTTTAACACCAAGAATCTCTAGTGCCCTATCTTGATTCATAGTGTGTTTATTTCTTGTGTTTATTCATGGCCTGTAGGAGCTTTCTAAGTCACATCAGAGAAACTCACCCACCGAAAGAAGTTTATACAGTAAAGCATGGTAAGTAAGCACACATCACTGTGATTGGTTCTGTTTTTTTCATAAAGGTCTCTCTGTTACTATAGGCACTTGATATACAGTTAGACTTTTAGTTCCCATGCCCATGTTCTTGCACAAGTAGCTATAAATAGAAGGCAAAATCATAGCTTTGGGTAGTTGTTGTGAGAATACCCTTCTAACTTCCTCTTTATTAGAAAGCATGTTCTCTTTTCACGAAATGTGTCTTCTAAAACATTGAGTTTCCCACATAACCCAGTCTAATGAATTAAATGGACACAGTACTACTCAGTGAACTCAGGGTTTGAAATGGTGACTAAAAAGAAAAAATATTATTCAGCTATCGGTGAACATCCCCGGTTAACTAGCTATAACATGTTTTTACAGCAAAATCACAACAACTGTCTAACTCCTTTTACACCAAAAGTAAAAACGTTTACTCTATAGTAGTTTAACACATATGATGTAAACACAAGGAACCGTGTTTACTCACATTTGAAAACCCCCGCGTCGCTGATCTCCGCGATGTTGATAATGACGTAATGTCCTCTCGCGTGGCCTCCTGTGATAGAAGAGTATCCATCGGTTGAGCATTCAAAAATCTGCGCGAAAGCAGTAAGACATCCGGGAACTTCTCGCCATAGAACTGTTTATAATGTGTCGTCCGCGCTGCTGGCCAATGGAGGTCGACGTCAGCACCTGGCGGCCATCTTGTCACAGGCAGCTCGCCCACTGGTTGCATGTACATGTACTTTTTAAATAACCGTAACTTTCTCAATTTTATACCGATTTTCAAACGGTCTGGTTTTTTGTAAATGGCAGAGATGTAGTTATGATACTGCACAGGATACTAATGAATAATAAATGTAATAAATAATCATCCAGAATTATAGCCACGTTAATAACATTTGTAAGAAACCAAACTGTTTGTAAATCCGTCAAGATTTCAACGAGATAAGAGTATTTCTTACATCAGATACCACAGAGCCCATCAGAAAGCCTGTCTGTGACAAGATCGATGGCCGCCGGTGATGACGATGGAAACTCCGCCGTAACACTTCTAGCCTTTATATACATATCTATGACTTCTCGCCTTTTGTAAATACTGACGTTTCGAATGTACTGCTTCTTTCAAGGCAGCCAAGTACGGTGGCCGAGAGAGCTCAACGCACTGCAAATGAGACAAGACATACAAATAGAAAAAAACACATGCAAATAAAAAAAAAACACCAACAAATTAGAAGAAATCTTCGTCGATTTTACACAACACGTGTGCTTCAAATGCTCAGAGCACAACCAAATACGGAATGCGCTATATGCATGGAAATGCACTGCAATTACAGAAACGCGCTGTAAAAGTTCACAACACAACAGAAATTTTTCCGGGGGGACCACAACAAGTGACGAACCCGGCTGGCTGGGACATGCCAAATGTTTTTGAAACAAAAGGCAATATGCATTGCATTAACCCTACTTGTATTTGAATGCATTTTAAAATTTCCATAATCCATATTCACCTTTCATATTTCACTTACAAACTGGTCAAACTGATTTAAAATACAACCTATAATATTCAACAGGCGGTTTTTGGTGCATTTTATTTAGCTTTGCAAATTCACTTCCACAAATGCAGTGGATCACATTCGACAGTAAATTCAACATTGACATCCAGGAACTGCAGGAAACGCAGTGGATTATCGTGCATTATCTCCTTCTGCTGTTAGTCGATCTCAGAAGCAGGGGGTGCAAGCGCGTGTCGGCCATTTGTTTCCTTTAAAAACAGTTCAGCTGCCTATAGACCATTTCACAAGATGTAAACAACACTGGCCCAGAAGCACTTCCTGTTTCAGTTTTTTAACACTACATAAAAGCTGGGATAAAATACAACCAACAGAACATTTAAAACTGAATCAAAAAGTTAAACAAACATCTTTAAGATGTTTTCTTTACATGTGAAATAAAGAAAACAGTTACAAACTGAAACAGGAAGTGCTTCTGGACCAGTGTTGTTTACATCTTGTGAAATGGTCTATACTGCCTCCAATTGTTCCAGGGGAAAACTGGATATTGTCAGGCATCTCGACATCTGATGTTCAGCAGCTGCTGAGGTGAGTGCAGGTGTGGTGACGGCTGACTAAGTGCAGGTGGGGACCAGAAGGAATGCTGGGAAGTGTAGTGACAGGTTACTGAGTTGGTGACTGTGACATCTACAATCTTATTTTTGCTTCACCATTATTACACATTAATTATATTGCCTTTACACGGAATAAATGTATCTGTCGCACGACAGTCATCTGGATATGTGGTTCTCAGCACAGTTGTATGTATTTCTTTTTAATGTCAATTTTAGACCCATGATTATTTGGGAGGTCATAACACTGAACTGTACTTCATGTTGTATGCGGAAGTTGTAATAAATGAGAAAATACAGTGCCAATATTAATTAATTTTGGTAATGACACATTGTTCTCTTAAGCTTTCACTGGAGCAATAGTGTTGTTGCTGATATAATGTGTTAAACGTATTACTGCCATTTGATTATTATCTTAATTCTTGTGTAAGGCTGCTCTTGTGTAACTTCTTGTCTGTTATGTGCACATCATGGATCTAGACAAAACAAGAACTATGTCCAAACACACGTATACATTCACACACAAACGGAAACTCAAGTCAGAAACTATTTGAACATTTAACCGCTCAATATTATATTTCTGGTAACACTTACGGGCCTACATTTACATTACATTACATTACATTTAATTACATTTATTCCTGTAATAAATGTATAAGTAGTTCTACCGTTATTAACTTATTCATTATATTCATTTGATTGATTTACTGTGTCTTTTGCTCATACTTCATGTCCCTTTCAAATGTCTCCTAGATCAAAAGCTACAGGCTTTACAAATTAAATAGTATTTTTAAATCGAACAGGAAGGCTAATTCTTGTGGCCACAGGTTTTTGTTTTTTTCCTGAAAGTCTATAAAGTAGAATGATATTGTGGGTTTTGATGAAGATCGAATGATCAAGCTTGCGGGACAAGCCGATGGGTCGATCATAAGTTAATTCACACAAATATCATTATGACAAGTGAGCTAATTTTTACCCGTTTGTAAAACGTGATCTGTGTAATTAATTGCAATCAACTTGTGGTTAATTGCCAAGATACACATGCATGCATGCAGGTAAAATAACATTTCATCCCTTATCGGTTGAAAGTCTCAGTGTGGCCGTGTACCGTGAGTGCTCGTAAAAATTGGTTGCAATCTGAAACATCACCGATAGAGGGCACTAAAAAATACATATAGCATCTTTAAGAGCGAGTGGGTAAATCACACCACTGTAGAAAAAAAACGTTTAAAATATGCATTTTATTTTACCATGTTCTACATCTAATTTCAGAACTACATTTTTTTTTGTAGCTTTGCGTGTCTAATCATTAGACCTTAAACCTTTTAAAGGGATAGTTCACTTTGAAATTAATTTTGATATGTTTTATCTTACCTCAAGGGCATCCAAGATGTAGGTGTCTTTGTTTCTGCAGTATTTTCAATTTTGATATTTTTAGGTCAAACCGTTCATGTCTATCAGTCATATAATGGAGGTATAGGGGGTCCACCTCAAAGAGCATGCACAGAGAAGTCCAAATTAAACATTATTTAATGACTCTTAAATGTAACATTGAAGGCCTAAGACACGAAACGAGCGGTTTGTGTGAGAAAACGAACAGGATTTATATCGTTTTTACCTCTTGTGATGATCACAGCCACGTCCAACTGATCTGAGGGCAGGCGCTTTGTTTTCTCACACAAACCGCTCGTTTCGTGTCTTAGGCCATCAATGTGTAATTACATTTACGAGTCATTAAATCATGTTTAATTTGGACTTCATGTGCATGCTCTTTGAGGTGGTGACCATAGACCTTGTTGTGGCAAAAATACTGTTAAACATCATCACTAAAATCATATAGGGTCGCTAAGGCCCCGAGGTGTGTAAGTATATTTTTATGCACAACAATTAAATCTTTGATGACTGAATACGTGCAAATCACCTTTATGTCCCAAGCAATGATGAGGACAGTGATGATGGAATAAATATCCAATCAACAGTGTGAATCACAACACATATTTTAGATCATATTCATCTATATGAAGGATCTCATATAAACTAGACTTTGAAACATCAATGTTTTCCTTTTTGAATATTTGCAAGTAGCAAATAAGGGCGATGAAATTCCCGTCAACTGAATGACTTGGTCAAGGTCGTGTTTAAAGGTCACGTGAGGTTTGCAATAAAAACTCCAGCGATACTGACGGACAACACTGAAGTCTAAACTTGTGCTTGCAAGTTTCGGTTTGTTCATTCTGTAATTGTTGATATTGTGAAGCCTTCAGGCAAAAGAAGAGCAAGATATTCATTTACCCAGAACAACAAGGTAAGAAATTCAGAACTTTATAGGAAGTATAAAATATATAATACAGAAAAACAAAGGGACCGCCACAGCTGGGTTAAACTATACAAGTAAAAACAGAAGAAGGGTCCAATCATTTATTTTATTGAGTAGCCTACACTTTAAAAAATGCTGGGTTGTTTTAACCCAACTTTGGGTCAAATATGGACTAACTCAGCCGTTGGGTTAAATTTTTACATTACATTTTTTTAACCCAGCATTTTGGGTTTGTCCATATTTGACCCAAAATTTGGTTAAAACAACCCAGCATTTTTTAGAGTGTATGTTCTTAATGAATAACTGCTTTAAGAAGTCTAATGTCAGTAAAGGTGTGTTGATGTGTGTGTGTTGATCAGCAGGTCATGGAGATTCATCAGTCTGCTGTGATTCTGCTGCTGGTCGTGTGTGTGTCGTTCTCCACTCATGCTCAACCAGCAGATATAATGCGTCGGTATCAAAAATTCCTCAATCAGCATTTGGGTCCTGATATGAATGTGCAGAAGTGTGACAGTGAAATGAGAACGAGAAACATCACTGGAACTGACGGAGGATGCAAACCTGTCAACACCTTCATTCAAGCAAATGAAAACCAGCTGAAAGCAGTTTGTGATAAAAGAAATCAACTGAACAAAGACAGAAACCTGTTTAAGAGCGGCCAGCAGTTTCCTGTGGTCACGTGTAGATTTAAGCCTGGGTTGACACCCCCAAACTGTGAATATCGTAGAGGGCGTTTGTCCACTCGATATATAGTGTTGGGGTGTGTGGGTGGCTGGCCTGTACATTATAACAATACAAAAACAATACAATATTTTTAAATAATTTATTCACTTCTCATTTTCTGTATGTCTTTGTTTGCCAAGTGGAAAAACAACAACAATCAAACGATCAGAATCGAGCTCGAAGCAAATAAAAAAGAAGAATAAATACTTGACCGCAGTAAGAGGTTTGCGTGTTGTAGTTTTTAATCAGTTCTTGTGCTGTAAACATGACACAGTTTGAGAGCAAAGTCTATGAAGCACAGCTGAACATGAACACACCATTTATACTGAACATACTTAATTGTATTTGAGAAAAATCAGGAACATTTTGTTTTTTTATTTCCTTTCGAAGAACAGTAAGTTCAACTTTTCTTAAAAGAAAATTAACCCCTCTCACAGTCTTTATGAGACTCTGATATGAACAAGAATATCTTCACTGTCTCTCATCATTTACCTTAAAAGATGTTACTTAAAAATGTTAAAATGTTGCACCTTAAAAATGTTACTAATAAGTTGGTCCACTTTATACAATTAGTTCACAGACATTGTTATCAACAGGTATCTCTATATCACAATCACACCACAGTGAATAAAACATTTGAAATGTGCTTTTTATTTTCCTTATTCTACATTTCATTTCTGGTCTGCAATTAACTTTGTGTGTCTAATCATTATACACTCTCAGAAAAAAGGTACAAAAAAGCTGTCACTGGGTTTGTACCTTTTCAAAAGGTGAACTTTTGTCCATTTTAGGTGTTAATAAGTAAATTTTAGGTGCTAATATGTAAATTTTAGGTGCTAATAAGTACATTTTTTGGTGCTAATATGTACATTGGCGCTAATAAGTAAATTTTAGGTGTTAATATGTACATTTTAGGTGCTAATAAGTACATTTTAGGTCCCAATATGTACATTTTAGGTGCTAATATGTAAATTTTAGGTTCTAATAAATACATTTTAGGTGCTATATGTGAATTTTATGTGCTATTATGTAGATTTAAGGTGCTAATATGTATATTGGTGCTAATAAGTAAAGTTTAGGTGCTAATATGTAAATTATAGGTGCTACCCAGCAAACAAATTTAGGTTCTGGGAACGTTTTGGGAACGTTAGTTTTTGGTTCTCAGAACGTTCCTAGAACTTTCCCTTAAGGTTAAGGGAACATTCCCGGAACATTCTCCTTACATTATAAAAATGGAACCTAAAAATAACCTACATAGAATGTTCCTATAACGTCCTTGTTTGGTTCTCAAAAAAATAACCTCATGGGACCATTCGGGAACATTAGGGGAACGTTCTGTGTTTGCTGGGTAATAAGTACATTTTATGTGCTAATAAGTACATTTTAGGTGCTAATATGTAAATTGTAGGTGTTAATAAGTAAATTTTAGGTTTTAATATGTACATTTTATGTGCTAATATGTACATTTTAGGTACTAATAAATACATTTTAGGTGCTAACATGTCAATTTTAGGTGCTAATTTTAGGTGCTAATAAGTACATTTTAGGTGCTAATAAGTACATTTTAGGTGCTAATATGTAAATTCTAGGTGCTAAGTACATTTTAGGTGCTAATATGTACATTTTAGGTGCTAATATGTAAATTTTAGGTGCTAATAAGTAAATTTTAGGTCCTAATATGTCAATTTTAGGTGCTAATAAGTACATTTTAGGTGCTAATATGTAAATTCTAGGTGCTAAGTACATTTTAGGTGCTAATATGTACATTTTAGGTGCTAATATGTAAATTTTAGGTGCTAATAAGTAAATTTTAGGTCCTAATATGTCAATTTTAGGTGCTAATAAGTACATAGGTGCTAATATGTGAATTGTAGGTGCTAATAAGTACATTTTCGGTGCTAATATGTGAATTTTATGTGCTATTATAAACATTTTAGGTGCTAATTTGTACCATTAAGGTACCAATATGCACCCTTTAGGTACAAAATTGTATCTTTTGAAAAGGCACAGCCCCAGTGACAGCTTTTGTACCTTTTTTTCTGAGAGTGTATTGGCATCAGTGTTACTTCATCTGACAAACATCGATTTAGAGTAAAACAATCAAATCAACAGTGTGAATCACAACAATAGTTTAAAACTCTAGATAAAGGAGCTGTGATGTAGTATTAACTAGACTTTGAAACATCATTAATGCTATGTAAGACTGCTCTTGTGTAACTACTTTTGTTATGGGACAGGACACACCTCAAACCAAGAACTAGGTCTAGACACACTTACACATTCACAAGCAAACGGGAACTCGTGTATACATTTGAATATTTAACTGCTCGTTATTTTATTTCTTAATATGCTATATATGGTAGGGTTGATCTTTGAGTAATATGATTGGATGGTCTGAACATCATGGATGATTCTGCTTTATCTTGGGTATAAATATGACCCGTCTCTGCTTCATCTGCTTCATCATCTCCTGAGACCTCACGACTCTGCTGAAACACATCTGATCTGAAGAACCTGAAGATTCATCTAACCTCAAGATTAAGCCTGACTGCATTCACTTGGACTTTGCGAAGGTGCATCGTAATACAGAGGTTACTATCCCAGACTATAGACTGCAACCTGTGAGTACATATTTGTTGCATGTGTACATTTTTGGTGGAAAAGGTGGTCTATCAATAATCGGTAACACTTTACTTTGATGGTCCCTTTTGAACGTGCTATTGACTATAAGTAACTTTGCAATTACATGTCAACTAACTCTCATTGGAGTATTAGACTGTCCAACGCATTCTCATCCAAAGGCGTCATATACGACACTTTTGCAAAAGCATAAACATCCAACGTCAAACATCCACATGGCACCCTTAAGCGTCAAATAAGACGCTTCGGTTATGGTTAAGTTTAGGTATGGGGTAGGGTTAGGGTTAGACCACTAGGAGGCGCCTTCTGCCCAAATATATCTGCGCCTCATTTGACGTTAAAGGGTGCCATGTGCGTCGGATGTTTACGCTTTTGCAAAAGCGTCATATACGACGCTAAATATCTGCAAATACTTTATTGAGATGCTCCCCAACAGATATTTTACTGAATATAAGTAATTTTGCAACTATATGTAACTTAATCTAACTCTATTAATATACAACCTTACTTATAGTCAACAGAATGTTTTAAAGGGACCATCAAAATAAATTTGAACCCAATAATATTCAATGCATTGAGTAATAATAATAAAATATATATATATATATATATATATATATATATATATATATATATATTTGTCTTGACTCAACGGAATGGACTTGATGGAAACAAAGAACAGTCAAAAACACTTTTACACAAATACAGAAAACACAGGGATTGGAATCAACTATGGAGAAAATGTGCACAGATGGGTCAAATTAACTAAGATATGTGCAAGAAAAAATAAAGGAAGGGTCTCAACAGTATTTTATTTACTAATCTGCTTTATAAGTTGAATGTCAGTAAAGGTGTTCTGATGTGTGTGTTGTTCAACAGGTCATGGAGATTCATCAGTCTGCTGTGATTCTGCTGTTGGTCGTGTGTGTGTCGTTCTCCACTCGTGTTCAACTAAAACCTTATCAAAATTTCGTCAAATCGCATGTGGCTCCTCTTAATATGAGTGTGAAGAACTGTGACAGTGTAATCAGGGGGAGAAACATCACTGCAACCGGCGGTCAGTGCAAACGTAACACCTTCATACGAGCAAATATAACTGCTATTCAGTCGTCCATTTGTGCCAAACGAACTGGCCAGTTCATGAGCAACAAGACATATCTTTTGGTCAAGTGTGATTTAAAAGCTGGGACGAGACCCCCCTGTAAATATACAGGGACGTCGATCCGTGCCCGTATAGTGTTGGGTTGTGTCCGAGGCAGCCCTATACGTTATGTAGGCTACATCACGTACTGAAGAAAGGCTGAATAGAGCACCACAGAGCTTTATTTGCTAATCATTTGTTCACTTCACCTTTCCAATCTTTTTTTTTTCAAGTGCAAAAGTGAGTCAATCAATCATGAAGCCAAAAATAAAATAGATGAATAAATACAAAATTAAAAAAAAGGATCTCTGTCTTTATGAGACGAGAATATATTCTCTGTCTATCATCATTTACCTTAAAATGAGCATAATTTTAAAAATATCTTTACAATATTTCTGCAAGTTGATGTACTGCTTTTCTTCATGCACGCCTCTGTGTGTAATTGTGTTTTTCATGTGCAGATTCGGCGAGTCTGAATTTAAGCACTCTGTTAACACTTTTTAAGCATTAAAAAACTTTTTAATGGGAGTAGTGAATGAGCAAAAACAGACGAGGGGAGAAAGACACAGATGTTTTTACACCTGTCTGTAAACCTCAATAAAACTTCTCTAACATTAAACTTGTCTGCTGGATTGTCTTGCATCTCAAACTGAAGGAAAAATATCTAATCTTCTTTTTTTCAAAGTGTAAATGACAAGTTATCAACCACTTCATATTTTGTTTCTTTTTTATATCCATACATTAAAATCAATGAATTATAGTGAACCATTTATGAACAGAATTTTTTATGACCACATTTTCAATATTTAGAGCCAGTGGTTCTCGAGAGGACAAGTTCCCCAGACTTTAAAAATGGCCAAATTGTTGAAATGGTCAATCAAATCCAAACTTTTACTTTTCGCAGAAGCTGTCACATGTGGGTTTTGTCTGTCATGTGTTCGCTGTCTTTTCATGTCAGCTGTTCCCTGTTTTGTTGATTAGTCTCCCCAGGTGTTTCTGATTAGCCACGCCCCCTTGTTACCTTGTTTAGCTTGTTTGTCTGTGTATCAACGCATTCTCACCCCAAGGCGTCACCTTTGACCATGCTTCAATATTTGACGTTTTAGGCGCCCTTTAGCGTCACTTACATGACGCGATCCTACGGCGTCATCTAACTGACTCTAAAGGAAAGCGTCTGTTAGAGGACGCGGTTAGGTTTAGGTGTGGGGTGGGGGTAGGGTACACGCGATCCTAGGGCGTCATCTAACTGACGCTAAAGGGCGCCTAAAGCGTCAGATATTGAAGCATGTCCAAATGCTTCCCAAGGCGTCAGTTAGGTGACGCCTTGGGAGTGAGAATGGGCTGCTGTGTATGTATACCTCTGTCCTCCAGTTGTTGTTTGTTGATTTTTGTTTGCTGTTGATGTTCCTTGTCCCTGTCCTAGTTCCTTGTGATGTAATTTTTCCTGGATTACTTGTTCATTTAATTAAAGTGTTTGTGATTAGATTCACTCTCCGCTACAGTGTTAAACTCCAGTGTTAAATTAACACACATATACTTGCTGATTAAAGTTCTTAACATTTAAAATCAAGGTAAATCACCCCATAAAACATTTTTCTCAAAGTATGTTGCTTTTGTTCAATACTTATATCACCCAATGCTTTGAAGATTATTGATAGACCTTTTTCCAAAAAAAAAAAAAAAAAAAAAAAAAAAAAAAAGACTTAAATGCTACAAATGTGTTGAGTGATATATGCGAACTGATACTCAAAGGTTGCAGTCTACCTGAGTATCAGAAAGTGGATGGTTCACAAAGTGGATGGTTTTTAAACCATCAACTAAGTTGTTTATTTTGATTAAAAGCTTGAAGGTCCTGAAAATAATTAAATATGAATAATGAAAGTTATTCATTTACTGTTAAGTTTCTGCAGTCAGCTCATTGTGACTCAGTTGTTCTTGATCTGACCACCAGATGGAGATAATGTGACAGAAAACAAATAACAGCATACTTGTACTGTGCACAATGACAATAACGTTAAATCTAATCTAATAAAATAATTACTAACTAAAGACTCACTCGTTTTTATGTAACTAAACTTGTGATTTGTTTGAATACAACGCACAAACTACATTGAGAAATGACGAACACTTTCCATATTTTAAATCAGTGTTTGGTCTTTTTTCCTTTGTCGTTTTAGACTTTAAAAGGCCAACTTCGGGTTTATCTTCTACCTGGACTCTGTGTTAATTCAAACACACGTGTTAAAGTCTGCTGATATCTTCATCTCCTGGCAGGAAAAAAAATATTCATTTTTATTATTTATTTATTTGTATTTTAGTATATTGGTTTTTAGTTTTAAAGAGGTAAATGATACTTGTCATGACGATATAATTATCACATTCTTTTATTGGTGATTTTGGCAGGTTTTTGAGATCTCTCGGGTGGCTGGAATTCGTCAAACGGATCCATAGACATATACTGTCTATGAAACGGATCTGGCAACACTGGCAGTGTCACAGCTCTCTCCCTGCTGGTAAGTTACCTTGATCGTTGCATTATCCAAAAAATAAGTTTGGATTGTTTCCAAGTGCACTCTTGGACTTTTAAACTATACACAAATTAACTTCTAAAGTCCGTCAGCTCCTAGTTCTATTAGTCGAGTAAATAGGCTATGCATTATTTGTGACGTGTGTATAGCCTGCTTGTAAACTGAACCTCTGTTTATATCATTTAAGACTATGCAACATCAATTAACTGGCTACTACCAACTTTGTGTCTTGTTTGTCCCCGGTATTTATTTTTTTATCTGGTTTTGTCATGTTCTGTGAATTGTTATTTATGCTGCTTATTAGCATTAGCACAGGTGTTGTATGCTCGCACGTGCTGAAATATGTATTGTGTCATTCCAGAGTTCAGCTTCGTGCGGCTCGCCAAGCTTCATTTGTGGCTCGCGCGGCGGTAATTATACGGTGATAATCATTCAGTCACTACAGATATTTCATAAAAAAAAAAAAAAATATTAACTCAAAGTGTATGATTACAAATATTTCGATCGGATTGAAAGGGGTGGTTAATCGAGAGAACATAGCTTACACTTGATCGATTGAAAACGAAACTGAAAGGACGACATATGAACGAGCTGTTGTCCAGATGAATAAAAGTGTCATATTAATGATGGCCTGTCATTAATTCTCCTTTCACACAGGATCATGTAATTTAGACATGTAATTTTAATCACAGACTCGAGTTGAGTTAGTCCTGGTAATGGAATTGATTATTTGATTATTATTTTGCTTTTCATTGTTTTACAGCCTTAGGAGACAAGAAGAAAGAAAACTCTTGGAACATTTAATATCGCTTTACTGAAAAAAACCCAAGGTATATCAGCTCTTCATTTAATTTCTATTAATATTTTCTTCACTAATCACAATCGAACTGCTTTATTAAGTCCAGTGTGTTGATCAGCAGGTCATGAAGATTCATCAGTCTGCTGTGATTCTGCTGCTGGTCGTGTGTGTGTCGTTCTCCACTCATGCTCAACCACCACATATAAAGCCCCGCTATCAAAAATTCCTCAATCAGCATTTGGATCCTGATATGAATGAGCAGAAGTGTGACAGTGAAATCAGAAAGAGAGACATCAGTGGAACTGGAAATGTCTGCAAACCTGTCAACACCTTCATTCAAGCCAATACAAATCAGATTAAAGCCGTTTGTGGCGGAGGAGGAACTCCACAGGGCGGTAACCTGTTTAAGAGCAACCAGCCTTTTCCTGTGATCACCTGCAGATTACAAAGTGGGGTCTATCCAAAATGTGAATATCGTAGAGGGAAGAAGTCCACTCGCTACGTTGTGTTGGGCTGTGAGCAAGGCTGGCCTGTACATTATGAAGAAGGCATAGTTGATCATTCCATGCGTGAATTATGATAACCTCAGTTCAAGATGTGTTTTTGCTATGTGCTTTTAATGGTCTTAGGGCACGAAAGACAAGATATGAACTTTTATTGTTTCGCACATTTGTGACCCTGGATCACAAAACCAGTCATAAGTCGCACGGGTATATTTGTGGCAATAGCCAACAATACATTGTATGGGGCGTCTGTTTTTTTATGCCAAAAATCATTAGGATATTAAGTAAAGATCATGTTTTCAAGTTCAAATTTTCTGTTGTAAATACTGTTGGCTATTAGAAAAAATAATGCACCACGCGGAGTGGCCGTGATACTTGCACCAACCAATCAGAATCAAGCATTCAACAGCCCCATAGTAAAAAACAGACATCTATGCTTAACTGTATTATTTCTCAAACAGGCAATATGAGGAACGTGCAACGATCAGGTAATGTGTGTTATTAGTCCTTCAGCAGCTCCTCTATGAGAACTGAACAGTATGACAACAAGTTATGGCGCACCCTATCGGTGAAAAGAGGCAAGGCAAGTTGATTTATAAAGCACATTTCATATACAATAATTCAAAGTGCTTTACATAGAAGAAATTAAAATAATCAAAACAAGTAAGAATAACAAAAAAAGCGCTCTTCTTGGAGAGACTTCCGACTACACACGCTTATATAAGCTGTGTCCCAATGTGAAGGCTGCATCCTCCGAAGTCCGTATTTGAAGCGCTTGGCCGTATTTGAAGACCGATTGCGTCACAGCCGCGCGACGAAGTACGTCCCAATTCAAAGGCTGCATCCGCGAAGGCCGCATTTAAAGGCCGATTGCGTCATCGCGGTGGGATGAAGGCTGTCCCAATTCAGTTATGCATCCTCCGAAGGCCGTATTCGAAGGCCGGTTGCGTCATTGCAGCGCGACGAAGGCTTACCTGATTCAAAAGCGACGCCAAATGCACCCTTCGTTTCCCTGTGAAAGGAAGGCCCTGTCCCAATATCCGCACTTGCGCCCTTGTGCCCCTCAATGCGCGTTCTCGCTAAGGGGTGCAAGACCGTAGGGTGTCCCAATCCTCTAATAGTGTTCTCCAGGGGTGATCAAAAGGGCACTTAATGCACCCTTTTCGTAAGTGCGCATCAGACCTCACTTTGCTGTGGGATATTACCCAGAATCCTTGTAGGGGAGAACGGTTGCTATGGTGCTGTTCGGGAGCGGAAACTCCGAAGATAAAGGATGCCGGTGTGGTGAAGAATTTTTCAAAAATATTTGTGTTATTGGGTCACGAAATGTAGTTTTAAGAGTTTTTCAGTCGAGAATATAGTTGTTTAAAGCTCAAATCTGTGGTTTATTTATAAAAATAGCGCCTATTTTAAAAAATTGATCTGACGTTCGGAGTTCCAGGTAGTCACAGGGCGGCGGGTGCTCAGCGCTCATGTACCCCGCCTGCAACAGCCTTGCCCCGGCTAGTCATTCTTGCGTTTCCCGCGGGCTCTGTGTCTAGTGGTTAAACATGAGCTATAAATCGGCTTGTGTACATCAGAAGGGCGATCTTTGGTCTCATTATTCTATGATTTGTTCCCTGGAAAATCGTTTTGGCTGAGGGGAAAAGTGAAGTTTCATAACTATAGCCTATATTTAGGCTATTTAACTGTAACGTTGAAACGTATGTTTGACTGAATCTTTTAACTTGCCTTATTTGTTGACTTACTGTACATAGCTTCTTATACTTATACTACTTATACTTTTTAAGCTTATACTTTAATAATGGCTATTCTTGGTCAATAAAATAAAAAGAGACAAGGTTGTGTCATTTTATTTTATACAGCCTATATGTTAGACTATTTTAATCTATAGCCTATACAAAATATATCACCAACACGTCATGTTTTTTTTTTTTTTTTTTTTCATTTTTTTTTTTTCATGTATGGGAATTTCATATAGGCTATCAATTTCCATAATAACAATTAACATTGCATTTCGAATCTCTGTGAATATGGTAAGGCAGTATAAACTCAGGTAAACCTCAATCACATTTTATCTTAGCCAAAACCTGTTTTAATATTAATAGCATTAACAGAAAGGTTGCTGGCTAAGAGTTAAAAAAAAAGGTGTGCAAAAGGTGTGCAAAACTGTCCCAATTCTGCTCTTCACAGCTTCGGGCCCTTGCGCTCTTTCTCCGCTAAGTGCACTTTCAACAAGTGTCCACTTCGAGGAAGGCCTTAGGGCTCAAGTGAGTATTGGAACAGGGCCGAAGGATAAATGGACACTTCGCGGACTATCCTACCCGATCCTACCCCATAAATCATTGCGCGGGTGACGACAGCATTTTTATTTAAAAAAAAGGGTGGCCGAGAGTTCAGTGGTGGACGGCAAATTCACATTTAAATGTAAAAGTATTATGTTTTTATTTACTCAAACAGCCAGAGAAACCAGTGTGAGCCAAAAGTTTTTTTTTTTCTTCTTCTTATTATTCATCTTAACTCATTCGTCAGCATTGCATGGTTTTGTCAAGTGGAAATGCGAAAACGGCTTTTATAGCCTTGTATTGCATTTCTTGTACATTGTATTTCTTTATTATTCATTATTTCATTATTTTATGCAACTTTAAATGTGTAGCCTACACAAAAGAGAATTCATGGCTCTGGATATTTGTTTATTTTTGTAAGGGTCTGTGAGTGTTTGCAAGGTTGATACATTTAAACTATAATATACTTTTGTTTTGTGTCGTTTAATGTAAAATGTGTAGTGTTGTGGTCCTGTGAGGGAAAAAGGTAGGCTACTTCACATTTGTACATGAATACTATCGCAGTATGAAGTTCCTTACATTCTCCCACTGGTTATTTTAAAAATTAAAGTAACAAATTGTTGGTCCATTGTCACAATATTAACAAATTGTTGCTAACTTCAACTTCGTCCCATATCAAAGTGCGCATCTGAAGCGCTCGGACCGGTCTAGCCTGCGGAGGATTGTTCTTGTCGCCTAGCAACTGTTGTGACTGACAGCTGACGACGACGAGCGGGAGTAACGACGTTTGCACTGGACTTTTTATATTTGGTTTAAAATATTCAAATAGGATTGACAGCCTGTATAAATATATTCACCATGGTCCATTTAGACAATAAAAAGAAAACCCTACAAAATCGCATCAAGGTACGATTAACATTTGAATAGGCTATTGGCTATATATGTGCCTATGTTTTATCATTATTATTTTTTAGGCTATTTCATTACAATATTTACGTAGGTTAACACCCAATATTTGAACAGTTTACAGTGTAATCTGGCTATTCAGGACGCAGCCTCTAGCATTAAACCAGCTCTGGCCAACTCTTTAGCCGAAAATACATGACTCGAAATATTTTTTTAGTGGTTATGTGAATTGAAATTATGTGATTTTATATATGAAGAGTTCAGATGCAAAAGCCTCTAAGTGCCATTTGAAATTTTCTTCTAGAATGATCATTTTTATCAAGCTTGTATATTTAAGTTCAGTGATTTCACTTAAATGGCAATGATAATTAGCCTACCTATTAATTGTTATTTAAGTAAAATTACTGAACTTAAATATACAAGTTTGATAAAAATCATCATTAAAGAAGAAAATTTCAAATGGCATTTAGAGGCTTTTGCATCTGAACTCTTCATATATTGCCCCTCATTTAAAGACAGGAAAATATAAAACATAAAATTTCCAGTAAAATATAAAACAACAAAATGACAATAGCCTTTCTCCATAGTTTACTCAGTTTCATTAAATGAATGATCAGGGTGGCAGCTGTACTCTCGCTCCGTTGCTTGGCGCCAGGAGCAGTAATAGAGAACACCTTGCGCAATTAGGAAATCCCACGACGGCTACATGAAGCGTCCTTCGAAGGCCAAATAGACTGCATCCTTCGAAGTCTACAGCCTTCGAAGTACGCAGCCTTCACATTGGGACACAGCTATAGTATATATATATATATATATATATATATATATATATATATATATGGGGATGATTAGGAGGCCATGATGTACAGGCCACTGTGCAAATTTGGTCAGGATGCCGGGGTGACACCCCTACTCTTTCGAAGAGTTTTTGTGATCACAGAGAGTCAGGACCTTGGTTTAACGTCTCATCCGAAAGACGGTGCTCTTTTGACATTATAGTGTCCTTATTCACTATATAGGGCGTTAGGACCCACACAGACCACAGGGTGAGCGCCCCCCCAGTAAACTACATGCATAATTTTGATCACACAGAGGGTGCTTCTCAATATCCCTCCTCGTCTCCTCGCTCCTCCGTCCTCCCTCCTATGACCCGGAAACCGATCGAGCTCAGCCATCTTGAAGGACATCTCAATTCTCTAATTGCACCGTGAGGAGTCGAGGATCGAGGAGATAGGAGGCTTCCTGAGGAGTCATAAGCGAGGATACACAGGTGCATCCTACGCGGAACTGTTATGTTGACTAAACGTGACGCACGTATCAATTCTCCTCCCCCTTCACATCGGTCACAATTATTTTAATTTATACTTTACCTTTGCAGTTTATATAAACCACACATCTCAGATATTTCAACAGTATAGCCTATCTTTATTATTATTTATTATGAATTTATTAAATAACCAAAATTCAACATCATAAGGGCAGATCCTTTTAGCGCTGCTGATCGACACTGTGGAGTGACGCTCGAGTGATCAAGAATTCCAATGTATATAAAAAAGCTTTTATTCGATTCCTCTGTCCTCCTTTCCTTTCCTCGCTTCCTTCCCTCACGTCCTACAGGGGGTGGAGCTGAGACGCAAGGAAAGGAAACAAGGAAAGGAAACGAGGATGCACAAATAAGAAATGAGAAGCACCCAGAGGAATCGAATAAAAGCTTTTTTATATACATTGGAATTCTTGATCACTCGAGCGTCACTCCACAGTGTCGATCAGCAGCGCTAAAAGGATCTGCCCTTATGATGTTGAATTTTGGTTATTTAATAAATTCATAATAAATAATAATAAAGATAGGCTATACTGTTGAAATATCTGAGATGTGTGGTTTATATAAACTGCAAAGGTAAAGTATAAATTAAAATAATTGTGACCGATGTGAAGGGGGAGGAGAATTGATACGTGCGTCACGTTTAGTCAACATAACAGTTCCGCGTAGGATGCACCTGTGTATCCTCGCTTATGACTCCTCAGGAAGCCTCCTATCTCCTCGATCCTCGACTCCTCACGGTGCAATTAGAGAATTGAGATGTCCTTCAAGATGGCTGAGCTCGATCGGTTTCCGGGTCATAGGAGGGAGGACGGAGGAGCGAGGAGACGAGGAGGGATATTGAGAAGCACCCTCAGTATTCACATTCAACAGTATTTTGAGCATTTACCCTGAGACATTTCAAATGATACTATATGTATAATACTTGATGGTAATTATTCAGATTAAACCATATATGTTTTGGATGAATTTTAGGTGATCTCACAGGGAAAGAGATGTGGATTAGAATGATTGCTGTACGAGAGTGAGTTAAAATGGTCATTTCTTTTCTCAGAGAGTAGCCTTCTCTTCCAGTTCTTCCAGTTTTTCCAGTCTTACAATAGATCTGAGAATGTTATGGTGTTACCAAGGCTCTAGCGCTTCACAAAATCTTTTTCCGAGAAGGAAACGATTTGAAAACCAACGCGAGTATAAATGTTCTACCTGAAGTATTTTTGTGCTTTGTGTTTAAATGCATTGAGGATCGCAGTGTCCAGTCACCTAATATAAAACTTTTAAAAACATTTAACTTTTCCTGCTTATTCATTTTAGGTTCATCATGTCAATGCTAAAAAGCTGTCTGCTTCTCTTCATTATCTTCTCCATGGGGAATACAGCAGGTAACCAACACATTTATTTGTAAAAACCCTTGCTATTTAAAAATATTTTAGAAATTTGCAATTTTCCATTGAATAGTATTTGCTTAATTAATAAGGGGTTTACCGTGTTTTCAGCACATAATCACAAAAAAAAAACATAAAATAAATAAATAAATGTTAAAACATTCTTTGCAGTGAATGTTACAAGAAATGCTAATAGACTGGGTGCAGATGATTTGGCCAGAAGATGCCCCACTACATGGACAAAACTTGGACTCCGATGCTACAAGGTTATTCCTGATCCGACTAACTGGATCACAGCAGAGGTAATGTGTTACACACTTTATATTAGGTGTCTTTAACTACATCTAAAAGACAGATGTAAACAAAAAAGTGCATTGTCAAATGATTCATTTAAAAATGATTCTCTGGTGAAGTAAATGCTACAGAAAACAAAAACAAAAAAATGAATGTTTTATTTTTACAAGAAATAAATATCAAAGATCCAAAATGGTAACACTTTATTTGAAGGGGTGTGTATAAGACTGACATGACACTGTTATAAACATGACATAACACCGGTCATGAACATGAAGGAGTCTTTATGAATGTTTATGACTGTTGTCAGTAAGTGTCATTCGGTAAATGACACTTTTAATGCAAAGTTGACATTTTTTTTAAATGACGACATGACATTAACAAAGACAAAAAAGTCTTTGTTGTGACAACTTGACATTAATCAAGACAAAAAATGTCTTTGATATGACAACTTGACAATCATGTCAGTCTTCAATCTATAAAGGTAAGTATTAACCTACTCAACTTTTATAATACTTGTTCCCATTTTGCACTGGGGCATGAATAATTAATAAGGTTGATTTTTCACTGTTTTCCAGCTTTACACTGTTTTATCATCGTTTTTGTTGTTAGGTTTAGTAACTGGCCATTTTGTGACATCTGTGACACAATCACTCAAAAATGATCCATTGAATGTTAAAGTCATTGTGCGGTATTAATACAGTAATCTATTCAACATATTGTATTACTTATTTAGATGTTTCTAAGTACAGCATGCACTTTAAACGTGTGGATTAATTCAGTGTTATATTGCCTTGGGAAATAAATAATGTTGTTAAAGTTAAGTTAGTTAAGTAGATGTTACTTAATTCTATTTGTGAAATTAAATAAATGAAATATCGTAATTACTTGAATGTTAAGTGTCAATTAAATGTCAAACTGATTTTAAGTGCATTAGTAAGTATAGATTTTACTTGAAAATAACAGGTATGTTGTATTTAAATGTGTCTGTCAAGTGTTCTTCAAACATCATGGCTTCCCACACTTGACAAGAGAAGGAATCAACCAGACTCAGGATTTCACTCGTTCTTCAAGTTCAATATTTCCCATTAAATACAATAAAGCACATCAAAATACATCAAGCAAAGGATAAGCTGGATTAACCAGTCCCTCCAGAAAAACGCGATTATGCGATCGCTGAATTCAATGCAAAATCAGCCAAAGTCCGCATATTTATGCGGGGGCCGCATTTTTTCAAATACGCCGCACTTTCCCCGCATAAATTGCCGATTTCCGTGCAAAATATGCGGGGTTTGCATAATTACATAATCCTCGCATTTTCGTTGAAAAAAAAAGTCACATGTATCTTAGCAGAAAGTTGAAAAATGTTGCGTTTGCTTCACATAAGAGCAGCCATTTCCCCCTGTTTCCATGGGAACGTTATGAAGTGACGCAATTACACGACGCCAGACAGACTCACGGAGGCGATTGAAATCTCACAAATCGAACTCGTATAACTGTCTGTCACACGTTCTACCGTCACATCGTTACTTAATAAACAACACAAGATAAAAGAAGTTGCATCAAACAGAAATTACACGCACACATGGGGTGTTCGAGGCGCACATATAATATAACACTGCAGAGAGTTCAACAGGGAGCGCGCAGCTCTTAAAGGGGCCAAACCTTATTTACACTCTTACAGTCTGAAATAAAACAAGATGAGAAATTAAATATTCCCAGCACTTTCTATGATGTAGTATGCTTGTTTATCAAAGGAAGTAATAAGAAATTACTCTTACATTAACAGGATGTTGGGGGAATCACTTTTTTCTATTTTCATCAAACCGCAATTTTTGCAAGTTCCCTCAATTTTTGCAAATTCCAGCAATTTCATCGCATAAAATTGCATAAATATCCCACATATTCCATCGCATTTTTAAAGAAAACTGGCCGCATAATCGATCAATTTTTGCCCGCAACAATCACAAAAAAAACTCAGCGTTTTTCTGGAAGGACTGAATACTATTATGGTAAATGTTAAATGTAAATCGCACATTTTTTCACAAATTTTTGGAAATTACCACCACAAAATCAGTCATTTTGATCGCAAAAATCACAAAAAAAAATCGTGAAATCCTGGAGGGACTGATTAACACATCAATTAACCATTTCTTCAAGTTTATCACCCCAGGTAAACAGTGTAAATCAGCCATTACATTTCCAGAAAGCCAGCTCTGCTGGGGCGCATTTCTTTTTAAATTAACCTTTACCCCAGATCATCCATACGGAAGTTATATATGACATTCCATAATCACAAACCTACAAGGAAAACATTTCAAATGATATTACAGTAGTTTAGCACAAGGTTTGCTCTGTACAGGAATGGTTAAACAGCTTTGTACAAAATATTTAGCCTCAAACTATTAACAGTGCAACTAACAATGCACTTAACAGACCACACAGCGTACCCATCCAGACAAGAACTACATAGCCAGAGATCTCATTTGCAGTCCTCAGAAACCAGTAAAGAGATGTGAGCTTACCGGTAGCCCCTTTGATCTTTTCCTTTTCCCATGAGTTTTATCCGTGATTCTTTAGCGAATTATTCTTTCTTCCACTATTAGCTGCATTGCAAATCTGAACAAACACATCTCTGCTTTCATTGTCTGAAGCTTTCTCGCGTCTCTGCTAATTAGTCTAATTTCGCGCACCTGCTGAGGCGCACACTTGCTGTCACGTGCATGAATCAAGGCCGCTGCACTCACACGCAGACACACCTCCCAGCAGATCGCCGCAACAGTGTCTTTTCTGCAATTAAATAGTACAGAAAACTGGTACTGAGCAAATGATAAATCACAGCAAACTTTGTTTGCAAATGTCTAAAATGTTGTCACTTTTGCTATATGGTAATTTTTTTATTTTATTTTGTATTGACAATAAAAAAACTCTGTCTCTTTAGAGAAACTGTCAGAGTCTTGGTGCGAATCTCGCATCTGTGCGTAATAAACTGGAGAATAAATTCATGCTGAGTCTGCTGCCTTCTACCACACGTACTTGGATTGGTGGTCATGATGCTGTACAAGTAAGTTCAGTTGTGTGTCCTAAAGAGACCAATTTGTTTGTCTAAACTACAATTTCTGCTTTAAATGGTATAAAGGCTAAGTTTCTAATGAAGATGTTTTGACTTCAAATCTGAACTAAAGCTTCTTCCTGAAGTCTGCCAACAGTAGTGCACTCTTTTATTCCCTCTCTTCTCTCTTCAGGAAGGACACTGGTTGTGGAGTGATGGAACTGTGTTTTTGTACACCAACTGGTGGTCTGGAGAACCCAACAATGCTGGTGTTCCTGAAAATTACCAGGGTGCCGAGGACTGTTTGGAGATCAACTTTTCCTGTAAGAATACAGCCTGATTTTTTTATACTTTCAGTTATACCAATTTTACATCATATGAATCATTTTGATTTTCAAAAAGTGCCTTAAGTTGAAAGATCTGTTTTGATTCGAACAACACTATAATGATCAGAATAACTGATTTCATTTTTCCACCTTACAGCTGACCATTGCTGGAATGATTCTCCCTGTTCAAGCTTATTATCCTCTATCTGTGTTAAGGACCTGTGAGAACGTTATCCTGCTCCACGGTTACTTTGATTGCACTATATTTTTATTCTGAAATCAAATCTCTTCTAAACTTTAACCTCTTTTCAATATCTTCTCTGAAACACTCCTCAAATTAATAAAAGCATTGAAAAAGCAAATTGTGCATTGTCAATCAAAATCATTTATGTACAAATATAAGTATATTGTATAGCAAGGCTTTGAGGATAGAATGGCATTAAATGATGTCATCATCATCAGGGTAGGGCTTCAAACTGCACACATGCTTCATCATCATCATCATATATATATATATATATATATATGAAGAGTTCATTATAATAGGTAATCTCAACCCGGTCTCATCCCAAGACGTCATATAACTGACGTCTTGGGACGTCCTTTGACCATACGTCAATATTCGCCTTTTTAGGGCCCCCTTAAACGTCGGTAGATGAGGTTATGGGATCCTAACTCTACCCCATACCTAAACTTAACCCTAAACCTAACCCGTCACCTAACTGACGTTAAAGGTAAAGCGTCAGTTGTATGACGGCCCGGGATCGCCATCTACCGACGTTTAAGGGGGCCCTAAAAAGGCGGATATTGACGTATGGTCAAAATACATCCCAAAACGTCAGTTATATGACGATTTGGGATGAGACTGTGTTATTCGTTACGGAGTCCTGGTTATATGTTGCCACTTGCGAGGTCTGTTTCCCTGCTTATTCTTGTTTTTGTTCTTATTTTTTGACCCCTGCTTGGATGAATATGATTTTGGATTGCCCTCATTATTAAACATACTGCATTTGGATCTTTTGCTTCCCGTGTGTGGTTCCGTGAAACTCCATGCCCGCCAATGCTTTCAGGAGGGTGCTGTTTGCTTGCTTGCTTCATGGAGTGCTGAGGTCATCACATCATTCAAGAAATGGACGGAACAGAATTCGAACCATGATGAATTACCTATTGTGTGGAAACAATCCTGTCCTTTATAGTAGCAACTCGGAATGCTGACCAGTAACTCCATCTACAAGCTGGAGGAGCAATGAGCAAGCTGTTCTTTGCCACGGACTGCATCAAGTACAATGCGACTCTGGTCAAGATACATCGCAGACATGCATGACTTGAAGACCAATCACCCTCAGACATGGGAGGAACTACGAGCAGGCAATATACCAGTCACCTGAACAAGCTAATGAAGATTAGCTCTGGGATCATTGGCAGACAGAGATTTTTCATGGTCACACCAGAACTTTCTCATCTGTCAATTGAGTTCAAGAGTCAATTGAACATGGAAGCTGACAGAATCACAGAACATCATGAGCTTGGGTCAAGTGCCGTCAAGAGGGCACATGATACAATCAACAAGATCAAGCCAGCCATACTCAACCATAGAAAACCCTTTACCAATGAAGGTGAAAACCTGCACAATGTGATTAGGCAAAGCCTACATCCCAGATGAGTACAACAGATCTTGAATGCTGATGTCCCTTGCCAGAAGTTGTATGAAGACTATGTGTCAGAGCGTATCAATGGAGATGCCAGCCTCTGGGCCCTTGTGAAGAAAGAGAACAACAAGATGTTCCTTTCCGGGAACAAGAAGATTACAGTGAAACTCCGAGACAATACTGTGGATCTGAAGGAGACCAAGGACCTGTTTACAAGGCTGATGCTACTTGCTAGGTCAAATTGAGACATCAACCAGAAAGAGGCCATAGGAAAATAAATTTACTCTGACACCAAGGGAATTGTTCGCTCTTGATGGAGAAATTCTGCCATGCAATGACAAGTCCAAGTTAATCCATCTACTTGAGAAGCTGACAAAAGACATGTCCCATGAAGACCATCAGTCGCCTCAAGTTGGAAGTTCTATTCACCAGGATGCAGTGTTGGGGAGTAGTTAACTACAAGTAGCGAAGCTACTAACTTAACTACATTTTTCAGTAGCTTGGCAGTAGCTCAGTTGCTTTTTAAACAGTGTAGCTTTTCCAGTAGCTAACTACTTTTTGCAGCAAGTAGCGGTGTAGCGCGAGCAAAAGCTACATTGCTACATTGTCGAGCCTGCGCGAATCAGCCCGATGCAAGGATATTCTTCATCTTGTTAGATTACAAACTCATTTTTTGCCAGTACCGCCACCTGTTGTTTAATCACGCATCTTGCATCTAACGGTTCACTGACGTAAAGAAGTGGGTTGACAGTGACACACCCAGGTGATGGCAGATTTTGAGGATGGAGAAACAAACGTTAATTACCCATGGTCTTATTTGTCCAAGTTCAATCGTTATTTTTGAGAAAACGTTCTAAATGCAATTTATGTTGAATGTATATTTCGTTCTTGCAATGTTGTAGGCTATTTGTTGCAATTTTGCCTTTTTGACAAACAGTCTGAGATATTTGAGTGTTGTGTGTAATAAAACAATACTCTATGAAATCATAATTGTATTGCATCGTTTCAAACACTAAATATTTGAATTAAAACATTCACCAGACACTTATTCAGTTATTTATAATATATAATTTATAACATCTTATAATAATAATAGGTAATATAATATTTATAATATTTTGTTCAAAAAGTAAAAGTAGTTTCAATGTAGCTAGCTACTTTTTGATAGTAACTTGTAGTGTAGCTAACTACTTTTCCAAAAGGATAGCTTGACTGTAGTTTAACTACTTTAACGTACGAGTAGCTTGTAGCTTGTCAAACTACAGTTTCAGAGTAGCTTCCCCAACACTGCCAGGACGTAATGCATACAGGACTCACAGACATCGCATCAACTGATCAGTCAAGTCGGAAGATAGCACTGGTGGACGGGATGCTTGTTTACATGGTGTATTACAGATCAAGGCCTACTTTATTGTTCATAGTGTTGATCTCTGATGATTGTTGTTGTAGTTGTGATCTTCTGCATCTGTAAGAAATGTAGAAAAAACAGGTCAGAAGAGCAAGCAATTAATCTGTATAAATATCTAATATGTTAATGCAGTCCAGACCCAGGAGAAAGACTAAACTGATTCAGCATCGAGTAAACCATTAACACAACAACAGGTAAGAAGTTTGTTCAGTCAGTAAGTGTGATTTAAGTTTAATGATCGTTGGACTAAATCATTACTCTTGATTTAATGCAGTTGGATCATGACGAGTCTTTAAAATCACTCGTTGTAGGCTATTATTTAAATAGCATAACCCATACAAAAGCAGGTTTTATACCATTATATTTTATCTGTAGAGAAAGTAGGTCACAGAATTGTCTCTCATCTCACCTCTGCTGAAGTGTGTCCTCGAGCTGCAGCGTCTCTGCGGTTTATCTGATGCGACTTTAGCAGACATTGGTTTGTAGACGTTCTGCAACAAGTGTCTTTGCTGTTGTGTGAAAGACAGTCATTCTCAGCACAGACTGTCAAGACAAACCTGCAAAACTGAAACTGTTTGATGATTTAACGGTTTGAAAAGTCATGATTTATGTCGTTTCCTCTTGTCTTGTGGCATCTCATCTAGTTTTTCAAAAAAAAAAAAAAAAAATCGTCAGTATTTGTAGGCTATAAGCTTTGCACAGAGAAACAAAAGTTTGTTCCAGTCGCATCAGCAGTTTCCGGACTGAGTTTGTCTCTCTTTTCAGAGATCGAAGACGGAGTCCGTGTATGAAAATGTCCCCAAAAAACGATGATCAAATACCAGAGCTCATACGGGGAAATTGCTCACATTTTTGTTTTTAGTTACATTTATTCTTGTACAGGAAGTCTTTGTTTTGCACAAATGTTGTTATTGTATTGTTTAAAACGTTGTTGCTCTATAATGAATATCATCCAGAAACTCAACTAAAAGGTTATATTTCAGTCTTCTTATCATTATGTAAATGTATCTAACTTTAATTATTAAACATTGGTCCACATGTCTGGTTTATTATCTTTGTGGGGACTCTTCATATGATATTTTTTTTTTCTGTACTGTACAAACTGTATATTCTCCCTCCTTGCTCTAACTCCACCCCCAAACATACCTTTCACACAGACAAACAATGCAAACAAGTCTCTCTAAGAATAGCGCTTTTTTAATTATTCTTCTATGTTTTGATTATTTTAATTTCTTCTATGTAAAGCACTTTGAATTACCATTGTATGAAATGTGCTTTATAAACTTGCCTTGCCTCTTTTCACCGATAGGGTGCGCTATAACATGTCATGCTCAGTTCTCATAGAGGAGCTGCTGATAGTAGTCAATCAAACTAGACCAGCAGAACAATACTAGACCCTAAGTACAGACCTGATCTATCAATATCATCAGCATTACAAGGCTAGGGTTTACTGATATTTTTAACCAATACATATAACTTGCTTAATCTATTTTATGATATTGATTTGATAAAAGGCGCCATCTGGTGTTTATAAAACAGCATTGTACGTAGCTCTCATGGGTGTTTACAGGATCACCGAGACACCCCTCGCTGCAGCCTGTAGCACGATGACGTAGCTGGATGGTCCAATACGTAGTGGATGGATGTGTGTGTTTTGGTGACGTCATTTACGCATGCGCAGTGCCGATCTCTGATTATAATTCGAATGCATTGGTGTTAAGTGATATGTCAATATTGTACTGAGATGATGTTCAAACTGTGTAGTATAATACTGTTAAATAATTATAAGTAATTATTGATGAATAAGTAAGGAAAATGCTAAAATAATAACAGCATGGGGAAAATAAATCTTGTAATAATAAACTCGCATTTATGTTATACATTCAGAATTGCGAGAAAAAAGTTCAGAATTCTGACTTTATAGCACACAATTGCGACTTTATTTCACGCAATTCTGTCTTTATAACAATTGCGATTGAGGCTTTATTTCACCTAATTCTGTCCTTATAACATGCGATTGAGGCTTTCTTTCACCTAATTCTTTCTCTAGCCTATAACATGCGATTAAGGCTTTATTTGACCTAATTCTGTCTTTATAACATGCGATTGAGGCTTTATTTCACCTAATTCTCTTTATAAGATGCGATTGAGGCTTTATTTCACCTAATTCTGTCTTTATGACATGCGATTGAGGCTTTATTTCAAGCAATTATGTCTTTATAACATGCGATTGAGGCTTTATTTCACGCAATTCTGACTTTATATCTCACAATTCTGAGAAATAAAGTCTGCGAAA